GACATCATTCTGATGTTTTCTAGCCCAGGCCTAGGCAAATTTACCCTGTTACCTGTCGTATGTCTTTCTGCTTCATGAATTATTGTTGTGATATCTCAAAATATTCAATTTTAGCATAGCTGCAGTGTTAGCGAAGCACGCATTCCTGCTCTTAAATACTTGCACACGATTTTGTTACTCAAATATTCTAAGCAAGAGTGATAGTGGGTATCTTCCGGTATGCCCAAAAACTTTCAATCGCCGGGGGATCTTAACACCAAATGTCCGCTATGTACAGTTGTGGACGTCTCAGGACAGATAAACTAATTCCGAAGCAACAGTCGGAGTGGGTAGTGCTAATGAGCAGTGACTAATGTCCAAGGTTCCACGTTGCATTTGTTCTCCTGTCAGTCTAGTATGGCACTGCAGCGTATCTGATGATACTTGTACTTGTCTCCCATACACTCTCTTCATAAAACTGATCAGATTGTTCCTCAACAGAACAGTGCAATCCAGAACTCGAAAGTTGTCGATCACTCCGTGTCAAGGCGGACTTTGAAGTCACCTTTCTGTTGAATTGCGGAAGGTACCAAATGTGATCGATGATCATGATGCTATAGGGACGTCAGTTTGGTTGAAGTTTCTCAATGGTACGATCATGTATCAGGGCAAGAAGCTTCATATAGACCTGGTTCAGCAAGAAGTTCCCTGGGCCGTTGTAGCACTATCCGACTAACCTTCGGCTCATAAGACGGAAACTCAACATCATGACGTCCGTCTGATTTGTTGCAAACAAGTCAGAGCTCACTGCAATCTTACCATCTGATTCTGGCGTACTGAAGATATGTGCTTTATCTCACCAAAGGTTAACTCTGACTAAAATCAGACCGCGAGTCCTCATCATATGAGAAACAACAAAAGGTCACCATGTGCCGTCATCAGGTCGCTACGGGTCTGGTCGGACACAGCAAGGAACGTTAAGGTTGTAGATCAATGTCGTCATCTCAAATTGGACCCTTGCTCATGCTTGTTACAGGAGATGCAGTACTGGTCGATGTGAATGCGGCTGTGACATCATGATAGCGGTACCGTCACTACTTGGCAAAATAACCGGTAAAGCCACTGGCATATCTGACTGGAGACGCATGCTGTGAAGTCATGACACAACCTTATTATGTGTGCAGGGTGGCCAAAGTGGTCCATCATCATTGGAGGGAAACGAGTCAATCGTTCAGGATCGGAATGGCGAGCGACCCTTGAAACAGTACTACCATGCATATGTGTTTGGGATTCCATTCATGCAAACGGTATTCCGGACCACCCGCATCCGAAGATAGGATGGAACTACCCGTACTATTACGGTATATATAATGGGACCTGCGGAGATACATGACATAGTTGGACCGATACTAGACGTTACATCACGATATGGGTTAGTGTAGTTCTCGGTCAAATCGCACTATACACCCTTATACACCTACGTGAATAAAATGCCGCAAGAATCGGAGAAAATATAGGATATTCGGGCGAGCATCCGTTTGATCACGGATTTCGCTTGTGGCTACCAGTCCCGATTGACCTAATTCAGCAATCTGAAAGCTGCGGTCCTCCATTCCGAAAACACTCACACAAAAAGAAATATCCGCGGAATCTGCTGGTAGCGATTTAGAACATCCCGAGGATGTAGAGGGTGATCATCAGGAATGCCAGGAAGAAGTAACGGTGTGAACTGGAATTGGAATCCGGGATCCATCTACTAGCTACTAGAAGCTAGCAACTTGCATGTTGCGAGACTTGCTTTCACTACTTCATGCATGAAGGTACATAAGTTATGGTATCTGGCTATATCATGGCTTGACGTATCAGGGAGTGGTTGGAATGGTCGAGATCCTCGAGGCGAAGGACAAATACAGCTCTTGCCAAACACCGCACAAACAACGGCATTGCAAATGCTTGCTCTTACCGTCATCCTTCTTTCTTCTTTATGCCGGTCTATTTCAACGGACACTATTCGATCCAATGATACATCATACGGGCTTCTACTCGACTGTTGTATGTCCCATGAGATGCTTTTAGCATCCTAGATCCTTATTGTGATGCTGAAGTGCGCAGTTGGCTCAACGAACTGTCTTTCTGTTCGCCGACTGCAAACCTGTCCGTTGTTTAACATTTGACTGTGATTGCATATGCTAATTTGTGGGAAAGATACGTCTGTTCCTGGCGGTGTGGTTGAATCACTCACCGCCCAAACGGCCAACCCTTTTCGTCTCCGCCAGCGTTGTTGCACTTACGCTCAATTTCATCGGCTCCAAAGACACGTGTAGACTGAACATAAATGCCCGTTGTTAAATCCCAGTCACACAAACTAGCCGAGTATTGACTTGGGCATCGGCGATCCGTTGACTGACGAGCTGGTCATAACATCGGGCAGCCGGCACTGAGGTGGGGATCACTGTCTTTTGTTCACCTGCCATGTCACTCCGATGCTGACGGGGGTTAACAGATCGTTGACGCCCTCTCCAATGCTACCATTAGTTGCAACCGAACCTAAGTGGAACCATTTATTCCCAGACACAGCTGTCAGTCCACAGCCGCTGTTGATACTTCTTTCGCCTTTCATATTCCGGTTAATTGCACGGCGTGGACATGACCACCCTAGTCATTTACATATGTCGGATCAGCCTGACGAGGTAGACGTTTCTGGACATCCTGTTGACGTCTACCCGCAGAAGTATATGAACTCAAGATACCGCTCACAATTTCCACTTACCTTTTCGCCTCCCCGCATTCAAGCAGGCCCACCCTCGTTGCCCTCTCCTTGCGCTCAACGCGCGACAGATCTATTCCATACATGTCTACACTTGACCTCGAGAAATGTGATACTCTCCAACAGGACCCACTTTCGAAACTTGAGCCCGTCATTACAAATACATATATCGCTGAAGACGATACTTCACTCTCTCGCTCACGCTCATCGACCGTGTCTCCGTTAAATGATGACTATCCGGATGGTGGCTTCAAAGCTTGGGCTACTGTTGCTGGAGCTTTCCTAGCGCTACTTTGCACATTTGGCCAATTGACCTCGTTTGGTACCTTTCAATCTTGGTATGCTGAACATCAACTTCAACACATGACCCCTTCAACAATTTCGTGGATTGGTTCTCTTCAACTTTGGGTGTTTTTCTTCTCAGTGAGTAGGATAGACGTTCCTAGTCCATGATACTCATCCCTCTTCAGGGCGGCTTCGTCGGTCGCTTGTTCGATGCATACGGACCCCACGTCCTCATGATTCCGGGTACACTGATACTCGTGGTCAGCACTATGATCACAAGCATCTGTACACAGTACTACCAGTACATCTTGTGTCAAGGGGTCTTTTTCGGTTTGGGGGTTGGTTTGCTGTAAGTCATCATTGAAATGCAGCAAAGCCGGCGGCTGATGGAATCTCCGTATTAGATTTTACCCATCACTTGCAGCGATCTCCACGCACTTCTCGAAATATCGCGCAACTGCATTAGGTATTGCTGTAGCGGGTTCAGGTGTTGGTAGGCGTTCTTTCCAGGCAATTAGGCAATGCAATTCCTAATCTACTTCAACATTTCTCACAATAGGTGGTGTCATATATCCGATTCTATTCCGCAGGCTTTTCACTACATGTGGTTTTGCTTGGGGAGTGCGCATCGCAGGGTTTATGGGCCTTGCGATGAGTGTTCTTGCATGTTGCTTGGTCTCGAATAGGCTCCCCAATTCCAAAACTGATGAGGCGAAATCATCGCATCGTTGGTTGGATACGAAACATTTCAAAGACGTGCAATTTATGCTCCTCGTACTCGGGAGCGTATTCGTTTCACTCGGTCAGTGCGGGTATCAGATGAAATAATTCGATTTGAAACTGAACATACATTTTGTGATAGGATTATTTGTGCCTAACTTTTACATTGTGTCATATTCCGCCTCTCATTCAATGTCTCCCTCACTTTCTTTCGCCGTTCTCGCGGTCTTAAACGGAGGCGGCATCTTGGGACGGCTTGTCCCTCCGGTCTTATCAGACACCGCCGGCCGTTTTAACCTGCTTATTCCCTCTGTTTTCCTTGCCGGACTCTGCACAATGGTCTTCTGGATATTCGCAAAGACCACCACTGAGATCATGCTTTACGCTATTCTATATGGATTCTTCTCGGGCGCGTTCAATGCGCTCATCATTCCTTGTATCGCTCAGATTTCGGAAATCCGAGAAATCGGTGTGAGAATAGGGATCCTATACAGTATCATTTCGTTTTCGTGAGTATGATAATCCTTTTGGCAATTTGTGGTACTCATACAATCCTTAGATCACTGGGGGGAGGCCCTACGGCAGGTGCTTTGCTCAGACTAGAACATGGATCATATGAAGGTATGATTGCCTTCAGCGGCGCCACTGTCATTATCGGGTCCTTCTTTATGCTCTGGTCTCGGATCCGAATAAATCCCCGCCTTCTAGAAGTCGTTTGACCTCTCCATCTTACTCCCATATATTCGATCCACGACCTTTAATGCCGATTTCATGCCATTTTTTTCTTTTTGCATATTGCAGAGCGAAATCATTACACTAACAGAACCTGTAGCACTAACTTTAACTATAAATTATACCCTCTACTTACTACTTTCCTCGAACATGTACTAGTGTAAAGACATCGCTCGTTGTTTCTTGTAACTCCGTACTAAATTGAATGATCATAGCATACCTTGTCAATGGAACATGGTGTTAACCTGAAGCTAATACTCTAGTCGTAAAGTCACCTTTCTCCCATGAGCTCGCACTCACGGCGTACTGTATATATGTAACTATGGTGACCAGTGAGAGGTGGCTGTATGCACTGCAGCGTGAACACATGCAGAAAGTTGAAACCAACTCAATCTGGGAACTCAAAATCTCGGTGTCCAATGTTGAGTTTCCCGACATGACGTCATCGCAGTCACTGTCAGAAATAGTGGTACGTTGCCATGGAGACAATAGGCATTACCATTGGCATTAACTTTCGGTCCTTGTCGATTAGTGGTTAGATCATCACGTTGTGGTATACTACAAATCCGTGAAGACGGAGGCTCGAATCCTCCCTGGGACATATTTTTCTCCCTGTACTCTACCGATAAAAGTTCATGAATATATTGGTGTCGATGACCGTTATTTTGACTCAGGTATGGTTCGTATATATAAAATATGTGTGGTATCGGACTTGTTTACATAACATTATTTAAATTTGATATTGCTACTAAGTTGAAGTAAATTGGCCGCTCCAGTGCTCATAATGCTCAAGCATAGACGGAGTGATCTGTCTTTTCACAAGTTTTGCGGCAGTTAAGAAGGCATCCTGGGAGACCTATGTTCGAGTGTGAGTTCTTTGTAGACGTTTTGATAAATTTGTACTACGTACGCGAGATGAATTTATGTCCTGTTTCATGGTTAAGAGAGCAGCTTCTTGACAAAGAGTTTTAAGCTCTGCCCCAGAACAACCTTCAGTCTAGAATGACATTAGCACCGTTAATACGTCATAAAGTAGAAGTTATATACCAGTCTAGCAAGATGAGCCACGTCGAGATCAGGCTCGACGCTCATTTTCTTAGTACAAATGCGAATAATGTCCTCGCGACCTGCTTGATCAGGAGGTCCAACATAGATTATACGATCTAATCGACCGGGTCGCATCAATGCCGAGTCCTGGTGGTTCACAATTAGCATTTGACCCCGATTCCCAAGGAAAGAAATATTCACAATGATATCAGGTCGATTGGTCGCGGCGACTACAGTGACACCAATGAGTTCTTCAACTCCATCCATCTCATTGAGCAAACTTGTCAGTACTCCTTCATGCGAAGTTCCACCGTCTGAGCCTGCCCGTGAGGACCCAAGAGCATCTATTTCATCCTGAAATTACATTAATCAAAGTCAATCACTCAACAAACGATCCAAAAGTTAACTCACGAAGAAGATTATCGACGGAGCTGCTGCTCTGGCCTTCCTGAATATATCACGTACAGCCCGTTCGGATTCTCCGACGTATTTATTAAGCAACTGTTGTCAAGTGTCAATATATGTCCATTGAATCAGATATGTAAACCAACCTCGGGGCCCTTGACAGCAACGAAGTTGACGCCACTTTCGGTGGCGCATGCTCGCACCAACAGTGTTTTGCTACAGCCAGGCGGGCCGTATAAAAGAACGCCTTTTGGTGGACGTACACCTAGTCGCTCGAAAGCCTCGGGATGTAGTAATGGCCATTCTACACACTCGCGCAGTTTTTGAATTGTGTCTTCTTGACCGCCGACATCGGAGAAGCGGACAGGCACGGTGTCGAGAAAGACTGAACGTAGTCCGGATGGTCTCACGCTCGTAAGGGAAGTGAGAAGGTCGTTTGCGGTCAAGTTTGGTGCAGTACCATCTGAGTTTTGTTCTGAAACGCTAAGAGGTGCAATGTAACGCTTGATGGCAGCCGTCCCTGCCTCACGAACGACGGCACTAAGGTCAGCACCGACATATCCATGCGCACGGGAGGCAACTGATCGTATGTCATCTTGAGTTAATGAATGTGGGATCTTCCGAAGTAGCACATTCAGGATATCGTAACGAGCTTGGGCATCAGGGATTCCTAGTAACAATTCGTAAATATGAGATGAACGAAAAGGTTGCGGTGAATTACCAATTTCTATTTCTCGATCGAAACGACCTGGCCGCCGCAGGGCGGGGTCAATTGCATTAGGACGATTAGTTGTTGCGACTACTACAACTCTGTCCTTTCCATCTTCGTCTTCCACTCCGTCAAGAATGGTCAATAATTGGGCCACAACACGTTTCTCAACTTCGCCACCAGGTCCTTCTTCCCTTCTAGGACATAGAGCATCTACTTCGTCCAAGACGACGATACATGGACTCCGTGCTCGGGCATCGGCAAATACATCACGGAGCTTTGATTCTGTCTCTCCATGATAAGCGGAAGAAAGTTCAGGTCCATTGACGATGAGTACTGAAGATTTAGTCGATGCAGCTATTGCACGTGCGAGGTGCGTTTTGCCTGTTCCAGGCGGACCGTGGAGAAGCAAACCTCGTGGAGGTTTGAGGCCTGAGAGACGTAAATAAGACGAAGGGTCTACACAGAAGCTTCGTGAAGTAACTTTACCGAATTTATGGAAGAGCTCTGGTCGAGTCAGGGGGATTTCTATGAGATCACGAATTGCAGCAATCTGTTTCTCTAGCCCCCCTACTAATGAATAAGCGTCAGAAGCATCCGTCTTTTCCACTACTTCTGTACTAGGAAGCTGTAAACGTGTTCGTTAATAGAACATTCCTTGGTTACATGGTCCTTTACCTTTTGCGGGGAACGAAGATCCTTCTTCTCGTCTATGACAGTGACCACCGTATCCCATCCGACCGTCCATAGTTTTCTTGAGTTTGCGAGGTTCAATTGTGACAGGTCAGCTGTGAGGTTTTCTATCTGATTGGTTTGTGTCTCCTTGAACGTAGAAACAGATGACACGGCAAAGCGTCTGCACCGTCCTTCGTAGAAGACATCCAATGATTGCGTGGGTGTAACATATTTGAGGTTCACTAGGTACACGAATAGGCATTCCATGAGGTTACTCATAACATGTGATCCAAGCCATCTGACGTACCTAAAGCCTCTCTTATCAGAAGAGGCAACCAATCTCGTCGTTTCCCCTTGTCTTGAGACTGCGTGGCGTTCGCTTCGGGGTGGGAGGACGGAGATTCTGTAATTGAAACTTCCTTTAACTGAACAGTTCGAGCTTCCTGAGCTTGACGGAGAGTCGGAAGTCCAGAAGACGTTTTGCCAGAATTGAGTGTGAATATTTGGGCTCTATCGCTTTTAAGTAGGCCCGCAGTGAGCTGGTGAGATGGTGAAATCAGGATAGCTGCGCTTGGTTATCCACAGCAGAGATTAGACTCGTCGATTTAAACCGTAGTTCTTTGAGACGCACTGTCTGGTGATATGTCCTGGGATGGCCAAGCAATGCCGACGGCAAAAACCTAGATTTAGAAAATCATGGGTTAATTCATACTGTTCGAAAGGAAGACGAAGGTATTAGCAGGAAGGAGGTCATCAGAACCGTATTCCGCATGGAACGAATAAACGAAGCATAGTGAGAGCGAGATTTTTCTTGCCTTGTGATCGTGTCCATTAGACGGGTCATATTTTGATAGTGCGATTACATCTCCAGAGGAAACTTTCGAGCTTTTCAGAAGGTCGGCGTTTAAAACAATCCGCCGAGCAGTACGAGTGACGGTCTCCAAGTCAGAGTCACAGATTTCTATTCTGAAGGATCTAGTAGATATTGACGTCATGGATTCTGTTCTGTTGGAGAGCAATGTATACAATTCCGGGAGGATAAGCGTATGTTACCGGTTGAATGATCGTATTGAGAAAAAAATGACCATCTCTCACTCACAATTCTGAATGTAGCGATGTAAATGAGAAGTGCGCCCGGTTAAACGAACGGGTCTTCCCTGCTGTCAGCGAGGAAAGTTGTGTTAGAATGTTTTGAAGGTGTACCTTCCAAGTTGCCGAAGAGATCTAGTGTAAAACGTTTGAATCTTACTCCAACACGAGAGACGCATATTTAGCGCTCGTCTCTCCTACCAATAAGAGACACGCTGAAGACCGACGAGAAGATATTTGTAATTGTAGCCTGATTTATTGGATTACATCGATATTGTAGTACATTTACAGTTTTTGGGAATCCGTAGTAGGTAGTAACTCAACAATCTGATCGAAATTGGGATAATGGGGCAGGTGGAGGCTGAATTTTTCCTCCATAGCTCTGCAGTACAGAATCAGCACGAGAAAGATTGACGATAATAAACTAAGCATACTTCGTGACAAATCTCCCACCCAAGAAATGACGGCCTTTGAACTCTCTTGCACCTTCTTTGGGAGCTGTCAAGCTGATCAGAACGTCAGGGTTCAGTCCAACACCGGCTGCGTTGCCTTTTTCGACGTCCCATCCCGATGGAATATCCACGGAGACGATAGGCAGTTTGGACTCTGATATTAGTGCAAGCGCAGAATCGAAGGGTGATCTGACGGGAGGTTTAAACGAGAAGCCAAAGATTGCGTCGAGTATGACGTCGGATTCATTCAACGCGTTTTGGAGAGGACCAGTCTCAGACGAAGGTGGGATAACGGGGATCTTCATATTGACACATTGTGCTTGAAGACGCTAAGAATGCGTTGTAGACTGAGATAGGCAGCCAGACACTACGCTTTAGTATGACATACCTTGTATATTTCCTTGCTCCCTGGCTACTCGTAATAAGCATTAGTAATAAACGAAAGAACTCACTTACGTAGGTATCTCACCTTAGGTATCCATATAGTTGGTAGATAGCCAAACATTCCTTTCAAGTCATGTGGGTGTTGATTTATGCCATCTATAGCATGCAAAACATCATTGACTTACCGAGATGTCTCGCTGCGACTAGTCCATCACCTCCTTGGTTACCAGGTCCGCAACAGACAAGGACCCGAGGGTGAGTTTCCTTCTTGTATACAGTAGCTAGAGTCTGAGCGCAAGCCAAACCAGCAAGTTCCATAAGCTAGATAAGCTGAACATTGAGTCTCTCTTCAAGAATGATAAGATGAAAGGCTTGGAGTACCTGGTCCAAGCTGAAGGCACCTGTTACGTTCATCAATTCCTCATCGATCTATGTAGAGAGAAAAGGTCTCATATGAGACCATATATTAACACCTATTGGTATTATGTACCTGCTGTGCAAGTTTTGCTGTCAAGTAGCGGACCGACATCATGAGTGTTCGAAGTCAAGGTCGAGATCACTAAACTTGAAAAGGAACCTATAATCAAGGTGACGTCATTCAAGTTCGTTGCCGCCCTGACTTCAGTTATTCCCACGGCGAGGCCAGCACTATCACTACACAGTCTACACTTCGACGACGACCTCCTTTCTATTGACTATATCCTAATGTTCTAATGCGGTGGAGACTTGCTATCATTACATACATCGCTCTTTGGCTCACCAGTGCTCTTGCTGCATATGAAGAATTTCATGAATTGCTAACATTCCGACCTCTCTCAGATGGAAAGCTTGCAGCACGAT